CATCAGATGTAATATTTAGTAGATAGTAATATTTTTACAGAATATATATTGGCTGTGGTGATGATTGTTGTGGGTATGATAGAAATTATCATAAAATTTAGACAAAGACTTCAAAATTTACTTGACCGCCTAGAAAACCCTGCTGTACAACAAGATGATCAACCACAGGCAGCTCAGGACCAACCCATGGCTCCATTACTTGCTCATAATCAACAAATTTCCCCTTCAGAGTCAACCAATACCAGATGTCAATGTAATGCCACTACAGAAAAGGTCGATTGGAATTTGATGCGACTGTCATACAAAAGAGAGGTTTATCTAGCTATAAAACCAGGTTCAAACCACCATTTTCTACATAAGAAAATGCCTGTACCAAGTCAGGAATATGACAGTTGTTATCAATTCGTTTGATGTGTTTGAGCTTTTGATTTTGCCATTTGATTAGGGACTCTCCTTTTTGAATTTTCCTCGGAGTTCAGTATTTTTTCTGATTTTACTTTGTTCTCAAAGACAAATAAAAACAGTTATAAGACTAAACTTGTAGTCAAGTTTTTTGTATGTGTAAATTTTGTATGTGAAGTTTGTTTATCAATCTTATTGATTCTTTTTGAGAGTTCCTTAATGTTAAAAATCTGGTTTTACCAATACATATAAAATCATTAAGTTTCAAAAGTTCCCATCTTTAAACAATTATTTATGTCAATTATTTTCTAAATATATTGTTTTATTTTTTAAAATAACTGATTTTTATATGATAGATACCTTAACATACTTAACAAGTAAAGTTAAAGCTTAACTATCAATACATAAAAAAAAACTTGTATTCCACATATATTCGTGCCAGTTCTAAAAGAAAGTTTTCGCGGTCTTTTTTTTCATATGAAATTTGTGTATGTGTCGTGTTTTTTTTACATATATCAATTTTAAGTGACATGTCACACCTTCACTCTCGACATAGGTTAACTACATGGACGGGTATTATAATTATGATAGATGGTGTTTATTAGTTCAAAGTTTTATATATTCATTTATAAAGTGAGCTCAATATATTATCTCTCAGGTCACATAGTTATTTTTCAATTAATTGATCTTTTTTTACATAGTGTTGAAGATTTGATCATATGTATGTTTGTATATTGTTGATGTTGTTTTTTTATAGTCTATTTTACTTTATTTAGAAACTTTTTTGCAAGAAAAAAAATGGAGGCAACTTATTTTATACTTGATATTAGTTCAAAGTTTAATATATATTCATTTAAGTGAGCTCAATATATTTTCTCTCAGGCCACATAGTTATTTTCAATTTGCTGATCTTTTTTACATGGTGTTAAAGATTTAATCATATGTATGTATATTGTTGAGGTTGTTTTTTATAGTCTTCTGTTACATCATGTCATATTAAAGTGCCAAAATATAGTGTAAATACATTGTTGTATTCATTGCATAATTTTCCTCAAGTCATTATTTCATAATAGCATTCACAAAATTGTCCTTGACTGATGTATTTCTTTTAATCAAAACTATCTCAGGTAACATATTTTTTTAAAGATATATCAGGTTATATGTTTTTATATATTGATGCATTACAACAATACATTGCATAATTATCTCAAGTCATATATTTCAATTATCAAAAACAAGATCTCAGGTAACACATTTTTAAACAATGTATCAAGTTATATATATTTATGTTTCATATATTGTTTTTACAACAATAATGAATAGATGCTCAGGTTAAGTCTTTTAATATATATATATGTATATATATATAGTTTATTGAGAACATGATGTTTACTTAAAAAATAATTAAGACACTTGAAACACATATGTTAGCTGTGAATAAATGTTAATCTGTTTTAATAATCTTTTCTTTTTCCAAGCCATTTACAAGCTATCAAAACAACATATTAGTTTCAATACTATATAAGGTATACCAATGTTTACTGTATATATGTAAAATCAAAATACACACATTCCACACATTCCTATGGTCAAGGTTACAACATTCCTGCTGACATCATTTTGATAATTGTTGGAATGTCACTTATTTGAACTTTGGTTGACCTCATCCTGTTTCCTCCTAATTACTCCTAATAACTCCTGTCCCAGAACGTGTATAAGACTACTACTAATAAATATAAATATGTAGCTGATTTTCCCTGAAGAGCCAACCAAATGTTTGTCTTAAGGCAGCAGCTTTGTCAGTTTTCTTCGTTATATACCCCATGTAACGGAGTAGTAAATATATAATGTTTTCATTCTGTCCATCAGTGACTCAGTTTGTCCGTCTATCAGTGACTTAGTTTGTCCGTCCATCATCATTGTAGTCTCGTCATGCTAGTATTTTCATTGTTTGTCCGTCCATCAGTGACTCAGTTTGTCCGTCCATCATCATTGTATTCTCGTCATGCTAGTATTTTCATTGTTTGTCCGTCCATCAGTGACTCAGTTTGTCCGTCCATCATCAGCATTGTATTCTCGTCATGCTAGTATTTTCATTGATTGTCCGTCCAACAGTGACTCAGTTTGTCCGTCCATCATCATTGTATTCTCGTCATGCTAGTATTTTCATTGTTTGTCCGTCCATCAGTGACTCAGTGTGTCCGTCCATCATCAGCAATGTATTCTCGTCATGCTTGTATTTTCATTGTTTGTCCGTCCATCAGTGACTCAGTTTGTCTGTCCATCATCAGCATTATATTCTCGTCATGCTAGTATTTTCATTGTTTGTCCGTTCATCAGTGACTCAGTTTGTCTGTCCATCATCAGCATTGTATTCTCGTCATGCTAGTATTTTCATTGTTTGTCCGTTCATCAGTGACTCAGTTTGTCTGTCCATCATCAGCATTGTATTCTCGTCATGCTAGTATTTTCATTGTTTGTCCGTTCATCAGTGACTCAGTTTGTCCGTCCATCATCATTGTATTCTCGTCATGCTAGTATTTTTTTATTGTTTGTCCGTTCATCAGTGACTCAGTTTGTCCGTCCATCATCATTGTATTCTCGTCATGCTAGTATTTGCATTGTATGTCCGTCCATCAGTGACTCAGTTTGTCCGTCCATCATCATTGTGTTCTCGTCATGCTAGTATTTTCATTGTTTGTCCGTCCATCAGTGACTCAGTTTGTCCGTCCATCATCATTGTATTCTCGTCATGTTAGTACTTTCATTGTTTGTCCGTCCATTAGTGACTCAGTTTGTCCGTCCATCATCAGCTTTGTATTTTCGTCATGCTAGTATTTTCATTGTTTGTCAGATCCTTTTTATATTTGAATGAAAGTGTACACTCATTTTATCCAAAAGGTACATATGTGTATGAGATACGACAAGTACTTACGAGGCACATTAAAATCTGGCAAGGTTTAACTTCTTAGCCCTCCCTCAACTTATATGTATGCTGGTGTCAAGAGAAAAAATCAATTTCCAATATCATGTGATATTATGACTATTGTGTTACTATAGAGAAGCTGCAGTTTACCAGAAAGCCAAAGGGGTTAAAATACAATCATTGCAAATCTTAAATTGTGAGTATATAACTCAGTAAGTTCGAAATTCAACTTTTCAATTTTTAATTTGCAATAGTGTACCTAGGTAAATAAAAGTGTGAGAATTGCAATTCTTAAATGGTAACTTATGCATATACCATATGCAAGAATTTCAGAAATAATCCGATTCGCGTCAGTAAATTATAGATTTACAAGTATTCCGCTAAATAATACACTTGTTGCAAGTATGGAACATCAATGCTAGTCGAATTACAAAGTTTTAGAGTTGCAAGTTAAAATAGAGAGGCGAAAGATACCAAAGGGATATTCAAACTCATATGTTGAAAACAAGCTGAGAATGCCATGGCAAAAAAGAAAAAAAAACGGTTTACAAAACACAACAAAGAAAGCCAAAGACAGATCAACACGAACCACACCAAAAAAGCTGTTAAGAGTTGCAATTCTCGGACTTTTATATACTGATTCGCACTAGTACATGTACTGTTACAAATTAAGAATCCCAAAATTGAAATTTTGAAATTACGGAGTTACATCCTTACAATTTAAGAATTGTTGGAATGTTGACGCCTTTGTCTGTCTATAGCAGTTCACCAGCATTTGGTAGTTATACAAGCTGACAAGATTCCGAACTATATGTGTAAATAGAAAAATAGTTCTAGTAATTGGTACTTAAAATGTTGGACATTTAAGATATAATAAAAAGTAATACTGCAGTGTTAAGAATATTAGGAAGTTAAACATGCAAGTTGGAAAATACATGTACTTACAATAAGTAGTTTTTGAAATTTTATAACCAATCTGGTTAGTGTCATCAGCCAAAATGTTGAGAAAATAGGTGAGGGTACAAAGAAATGATTTTACCAAACATATGTACATCCCATATCATTTTCAAAAAATATTAGAAGTAAGAAATCTATACAAGAACACTCATCAGATTATACCAGCTAGACTTATCATTTTGTTGCTAGATGCGTGTTTCGTCTACAAAAGACTCATCACTCAAATAAAATAGTACAAAGTTGAAAAACCTTGACTCAAACTTTTGAAATGTTTACAATTAATTGTTGACTAATAGCAGCAAGTAAATAGTAATTATTTACCTTTAGAATTAGCTTATAAATTAGGCTGTTAGTTTTCTATATTGAATTGTGTCATATTTTTCATGTCGGGGCTTTTTATGACCGACTATACGGTATTGGTTTTTCTTTATGTTGAAGGCCGTACAGTTGCCTATAATTGCTCACACCCACTTCATTTGAATGTGGGTGGATAGTTGTCTCATTGTCAATCGTACCACATCCCATTATTTTTATATACATGTTAAAGTGGAATTTCAAAGACTTCTTCTGATTTCATGTATAAAATAAAAAAATATATATACTTTATAGAATTGTAAATTATTCGTACACGACTTCATTTATTATGTATTGTGACGAATGGCTTTGGGACGACTATGCATTAAAAAGGGCGAAGTCAGTAGTTACTGTCCCCTTTCGTATTTAAACCCTAAACAGCGAAACATTGGAATTAAAAGGTACAGTTACAATTTCTTTATCTGACTTAACACTTACCTTAAACTTCATCGTATTAATAAGTTACATTTTATTAAAGTTACAGTGAGGTTAATCATTTGATAACTTGCATTATTTCCGACTATATTCTACTTTTCAATTTGAGTACTTATGCATATCTCTGATTATTTTATAAACTGGCAAATGAGTGCAATAACAATATAATTAGTATTTTTATGGTCATCGAGTACCATAATATCTTCCTTGAGATAAGATATTATCGTTTAATTACTTGACATCCTGATCCTGATCCTAAGGTCAAAAATTGACACGACTTGTCTCTCTTGTACAGAATATTCCTCATACGGTGCACCATTTCTCCTGGTAATTTCTCATGTAGTACTTTGAAAAGTTAGTTTAGGCGCAGGATCGGGTATCAGGACTTGCTAGTTCTTGAAAACGCCCTGATTTAGATATATATTCCCCTATAATTTGTGCAGTTTTTTCATATGTTTCTCTCTTTGATGGTGAAAGTAGTGATTGAATGTCCAGTGGAATGTTAACTATTTCCAGTTGTCTTTTTAAGTCCTCTCTTTCTTGGTGGTATCTAGGACAGTATATCAAATAGTGTTCTGTTGTTTCTTCTTCTCCGCATTCACAATATGGCGTGAGGGATTGACCTAATTGGTTTCTGTATTTGTTTAGTCTGTTGTAGCCTGTTCTTATTTCCGATAGTATTCGTCCAATTTGAGTGTTAGGGAGGTCTAGTTGAACTATTATTCCAACAATAGGTACCAGATCATATAGGTGTCTTCCTGTTTCACCAATTGTCCATCTGCTTTGCCATTTCAGATTTGTAGACATCTTGACTGCACTTGTTACTATATGCTATTGTCTACCCCTTGTTACTATGCTATGCTCAATATGGCACAGTCCAATAAAGGTGGACTCGTTCAGGGTTGAAACACCCTTGTTACTAGGGAATATAGGGTAATGGTATTGTCCCATAGTGGTATATCCCAATCATCCAGGGGTATATAAGCAGCCGTCAGCAGTCAGTCCAAATGATCCGTTTGGACTGGAAAATGTTTGTTCACAGCCTCCTCGCCGTGTCTGCTTACAGCACATGGTTACCACGTGGTAGCTTCACGTCTGCAAGTATTTACATACAATTTATTTCTTTACAGTGCAAGGGAAACAACTCCAGTCTAAACGGGCGACACCAAAAACAAATAATTTGGTAGATATATATTATTTACCTTTTTTAGTTTTTTTCATTTCTAAATATTGGCTTTTTAATAGTTGTAACAGAGCTGGAAGGTATCATTTATCAGTTTATGATTTCTAAATATTAGAAACATAACCCCGTTGAATTTGACAATATACAGTAAAACTTTTACGAAAGTTTTTTTTTTTTAAAGTAGTACACTAAATCAAGTACTACCAAGATAGCACTCTCTGGTATCTATACTGTACATAACTGCAAAACATGAACACTTACAATTTATTACACACAAAAATGTCAAAACAATACATTAATCTTATAGATCCTAATTATACATACACGGTAATACTATATATATTTTTCTTCTAGAACGTAAGTTTAAGAATCTTTTATAATATAAGTGAAGGTGCTATCTTTAGTCAAATTCAATATACAGAGAATCACAATTTACCAAGGACGTACGAGCCGCGGTATAATTGTATTAATGTATATACCATGTACGGGAATATGTCAGACCCCTTCTAGGATTTGCATATTTGGAAAAGTCAGATATAAAATTGAGAATGGAAATGGGGAATGTGTCAAAGAGACAACAACCCGACCATAGAACAGACAACAGCCGAAGGTCACCAACAGGTCTTCAATGCAGCGAGAAATTCCCGCACCCGGAGGCGTCCTTCAGCTGGCCCCTAAACAAATATATATACTAGTTCAGTGACAATGAACGCCATACTAAACTCCAAATTGTACACAAGAAACTAAAATTAAAAATAATACAAGACTGACAAAGGCTAGAGGCTCCTGACTTGGGACAGGCGCAAAAATGCGGCGGGGTTAAACATGTTTATGAGATCTCAACCCTCCCCCTATACCTCTAGCCAATGTAGAAAAGTAAACGCATAACAATACGCACATTAAAATTCAGTTCAAGAGAAGTCCGAGTCTGATGTCAGAAGATGTAACCAAAGAAAATAAACAAAATGACAATAATACATAAATAACAACAGACCACTAGCAGTTAACTGACATGCCAGCTCCAGACTTCAATTAAACTGATTGAAAGATTATGTCTTCATCATATGAATATCAGGCACAATCCTTCCCGTTAGGGGTTTAGTATCATACCATCATAACATATATGAGAAGAACATAACCCGTGTCATGCCAACAACTGGTTTTTAAATAAATGTGTTTAGCGCCGATGCAAAGACCCTATAAGTGAATCAATATTAACGCCAAAATATGCAATCTTTAATGACCTGACAACAGTATCGTAACTATATCCCTTCTTAATAAGTCTATTTAAAGGTTTTGTTAGCTTCAGAGGTGAATACTGACATTTTTGTGCTTTATAAAGAATATTTCCATAAAAAATTGGATGTGAAATACCTGAACGTATAAGAAGTCTGCATGTTGAGCTATATTTACGAATGATGTCCTTATACCGATGATAAAATTTAGTAAATGTTTTGACTAGTTTGTGATATCGAAAACCCTGGTGTAATAATTTTTCAGTAATACATAAATTTCTCTCGTTAAAATCTAAAACATTGTTACATACACGAGCGAATCGTACAAGTTGAGATATATAAACACCGTAAGATGGTGACAAGGGAACGTCACCATCTAAAAATGGATAATTAACGATAGGAAATGAAAAATCATCTCTTTTATCATATATTTTAGTATTAAGCTTTCCGTTAATGATATAGATATCAAGATCGAGGAAAGGGCAGTGGTCATTGTTGGTATTAGCTTTATTTAAAGTAAGTTCAACAGGATAAATTTCTTTAGTATACATACTGAAGTCGTCATTATTGAGAGCCAAAATATCATCCAAATATCTAAAAGTATTATTAAATTTGTGTATCAGATGTTGTTTCGATGGGTCTTTGCTGATTTTTGTCATAAATTGTAACTCATAGCAATACAAGAAAAGGTCCGCAATAAGTGGTGCACAGTTAGTCCCCATTGGAATTCCGATAACCTGACGATATACGGAATCTCCAAAGCGAACAAAAATGTTATCTAGTAAAAATTCAAGGGCATATATAGTATCAAAGCATGTCCAATTGGCATAGTTTTTTTTGTTTATTGCTACTAAAAAATGACCTAAAAGAGTTTGAACATATATATTCACATTCTGACTTTTTAAATGCCCATTTAATTAGGTGTGTGAATTTTTTCTTAATGAGAATGTGAGGCAATGTGGTATATAGGGTAGAGAAATCAAAACTTTGAACAGATTCAAAATCACCAATATATGGATGCAATTTATCAAGTACTTCCAACGAGTTCTTGACACTCCAAAAGTAATTAATTCCACTATTTTCGAAGGCCTTATTTGAACAATTTATTATCAGATTTTTGATTGTACCAAGTGTACTGGTAAGAAGAATAGACAATTTAGTAGTGGAACAATGGCTTGAAGACGAAATGAATTTATATTTGTAAGGTGTTTTGTGTAGCTTCGGAAGCCAATACATAGTTGGGACTTTCATTGTATTTGGTTCTGCTTGTAAAGCGGTAGCTAAAAGTTTATGTTTGTTACAGATGTCGTTTTCTGAAAATGGAGTCAGTTGGAATGTTGGTGAATTGGTGATTTCTTTTTTCAGAACCTCAATGTAAAATTTACGTCAAACAATAATAATATTATTAGCAGCATTATCGGCCGGGACAAAAACAAATTCCTTGGCTAGTTCTTTTAGTTTATGTTTGATACGAGAAATAGGTTTATTGTGGTTATTGTTAAGAGTAAAATGTTCTTTAAAATGTTGAATACGTATATCAACTATGTTCATTACTGATTTAAAAAAAGAGTCCAAAGATTTTTTGTCAGCTTTTTCCCGTTTTATCCATTTCAAACAGTAAGTATGGAGTGAGTCGTGGATGATATTACGACACTCATTCCAATTAATAATTAACGGGGGACGATATTTAGGTCCTTTACTGAGGACTGAGTTTAACTCTCGGTCTTGGACGATGTTAAGATCTCCTGTTATAACATGGGAAATGGGTCCATAAATGTATTCGGAATTACTGCAATTACATGAAGGAGGTGTATTTTCACTGATATTAACATCTTTACACAATTGGCTATAATTAAACACAAATTTCCGGGTAGATTTCTTGTAAATATAACAAATAAGAGGGAGCTCAGTATTATCAAAATATCCCGGAATTTGTTCTTTAACAGAATGGTCGTTAAAAATACCGGCAATATTTACAAAATCAAAACCTTTATTGACATACTTTATTTTAATAAACTGTTTTTTATGATCTTCAGGGCGATCAATTTTGGGAAACAGTTTAGAATAACAATATGTCTATCCAAGAGTATTTGATACTTACAGTTTTCATGTATAAACAACAAACACACCTACTTACCAAATCATTTAATATTTATAAACAAAGCAGGCTAAGTTACAAATAACAGAATAATAAGCTCACATAAATTTTTCTTCTCACTATAAGTTAACCACAAGATAATTAAGATAATTAAAATACACACCATAGTTCAGATTTAAATATCAAGATTAAACTTAAGGAAAAAAAAAAAAAAAAAAAAAAAAACTCACAATTTACTATATATATGAATATATAATACGGGTTAATTCCTAAATAATAATAAATTTTAAAACATTTATTTGAAATGTTTTTATATAAGATAATCTGGCGCAATACCCGCAAGGGTAGTCGCCATTAAACTCTATTTAGTAGTAGTAGTAGTCAGGGTCGGTATTACGATCAGATCACACGTATAAGTGATAAGATAAATACCTGCTTATTGTTCCAAACATTGGATCGACTGCTCAAGTCTTTCTAATAACTGAAACTTAGCAGAAGAATTGTCTTAAGCTATATAAAGTGAGCTGCATCGAGAAAAGCGGAAGAGCTATAGAACTAGAAGAGATTCGTTGAGTAAGATAAAGATATAGCGGAAAGAGCAACAATATTGCGAGCCTGTTGAGGCAACTATTTGAAATAGAAATATTGTGAGCCAGTGGAGCTACAGCGCTAGTGAGTCTGTTGAGCTAGGAGCTACAGAGCTAGTGAGCAAGTAGATCTTGCTATTTATTTGACATATAGTCAGTAAGCCAGTTGGGCTGAATAATAATTGAGCTGGAGGAGCTTTAATGAGCCGAGAGAGTTAAAGAGGAATTATAAACAAAAGAAAATATATACACAAGTCTCAGATCTCGAGAATCAACTCGGGTACGAACCCCCGACACGTTACAGTATCAACAATTTCATACGTCTTTATGGCAATATATTTCAACGGTCTAATAAAAGAATAAAGTTATTTTAGGGCTATTAACTAATAATAATTATTAATATTTAATGAAATTAATACAAAAACATATTTTTGTTAACACTTCAATCATCATAAAGCCTTCTTGACTCAATTTCACTGTGTCCTGACAAGAAAAAATTACTCCCGTGTAGTATTCTTCTGTTTTATAGCAAAAGGGCGGTTATTTTAAGGAACATTTCGCCAAAAATAGAAGAGCAAACACTTAATCAGCTGACAGTGTAGGTTTAAATGTCACCTGATTAATGTAATCTTATCAGAAACACCCGAATTTATTAAGGTAAGATTTATATCAATATGTGTGTGTAGTTTGCATAAATATCAAAGACCTTTCAGAATATGTTGCTGATCAGCAAACAACAAGTCCATATTTTGTAGCACTCGTCTGTTTATCTGTCGTTTTAAACTTGATCCATTTACAGACCCTTCACATTTCAAAGTGATCACACACACGATACACGCACGGAGAATGGACAGTGAATGTACGGTGAACGATACATGCACGATGAGTAACGTGTGTAACACGTACATTTACACGTAATATCTTAAACTACAGTGTACTAACCACAGCGTCTAAATTAACATTCTCTCACCAAAAATACATTTACATAAAGTAAGGATAAATATTACCTCGATAGAAGGGGCTAGGTGCATTCCAAGTCTATTGTCTCATTACAAAGGTAAAATATGTATACATTTGAAGTTTATACATGTTATAGTCGGGTTCACACGTTTGGTGTTTATTTTGCCTTTAACCTTATTAAACAGGAATAACACAAAATATACATGTAATTCAGAATGCGCATCGTATTCGTCAGTGAGAAAATAAAAAAAATAAGCGCTCACAAACATGTTTAACACTGTTACATGTGCTTCCAGCCAGTGGTTGGCGTTGGTTGCTGTCTGCTACATTTGTTTTTCGTTCATTGTTGTAGAGGGTCTTCTTTTTGAATCTTTTTCAAATTGTTTATACCGGGGACTTTCGTAACATTTTATACAGTATGGTTTTTGTTCATTGCTGAAGGCTATGCGTTGATCTGTCCTTCACATACATGTATATATTAGTCAGGCTAGAAAAAACCCGCGCGAGCGAGGTTTGAAGACTACTTGAAATGTTTATGGTGGTACACAGCTTGGGTTCGTGTTTCTCAAACTGTTTTTATGCATTGATGCATTATGTTGATAGTTTTTATTAGTTTGTCAATTCTTCTTCCATGGGAGTTTGAATGTCCAATTAGTAGCATCTGTCTCGGTGTTACACAGGTGCTCATAGAACGGAGGAAATAACTCAGAGAAGAAGAAGACAACTTAGAACACTTATGTAGTTTGTAGTATTTCTTTTTTTTTTTTTGAAAGGTGCGAGTCAAGTTCTGTCTCTGTGTGATATATGCGTGCTCCAAGAACGGAGGAAATAACTCAGAGAAGAAGAAGTCAATCTAGAACTCTCTGATGGTATAAAACATTCTTCAGTGGTGCGAGTTTGTAATATTTTTTTTCGAGTGGTGCGAGTTCTGTCTCTGTGTGACACGGGTGCTCTGAGAAAGGAGGAATTTACTAAGAGAAGAAGAAAACAATTTAATGATTAAACACATTTCTTCGAGTTTGTTATATTTTTTTTTGAGTGGTGCGAGTTTGATAAAGTGATGCAAGTTGTGATAATTAGTGGTGCGAGTTGGCCGTGGGCCGAGTTGTCGGGCAGTACGTCAGCTGAGCATTCGCAAAAGCGTATAAGACACGGATCGATAACGGTCTCCGAATTTGGATATTTTCTCAAAAATCGGCGTTTTCTGTGGACAAAATTTTAATATTGTTTCAAAGACAAATTTAGAAAGTACAAAACACTACATTTATACGTCATATCACAAATATTTCCGACTTTGTATGGTTTCAGAGGAGTTGCGGCTCAATGAAATCGGTCTCTTCCTTTAGTAGTATAGATATGAAAAAAAACAAGTCTGGGTCGGATTTTTTTCCTGTAGTAATTTATTAGAAATAACGTATACATGTATTAAGGGGGAACTTAGAGACAACGTATATATTAAGGAAAATTAAAAATACAGGAGCAAGATTATCTTAATTCTTAAATCCGTTTGTAATAGACCAATCAAACGCATCATTGCACATGGAGCGACATCGGTTCGATAGCTTATCCTTCACTTCTGGTAACGACAGATATGACACCAAGCCTCAGAAAGAAAAATTACCTTGTGAGAGTAGACATATATGAAAGGAAAAGAGAGAAAAATCAAAGACGTTAAAAGCAATTTTCTTTAACCACCAACCATTTCATATAGAGAGTCAGCACGCTAAGTCATCGATTTTAATGAAACTTAACCTGACCATATAATCAGGTGAAAAGGTAAAAAAAAATGCTTTTCAAAATGCTGCTAGGTCACGGTTGCCATGGCAACCAAGTCAAAGAGTTTTCCCGTACATTTTGGTGATTTTAACATTGAAAAAACAACTACTTTGCATGAATTCTGAAGCAAAACATTTTTTTTAATGATATTTGTTAATATTTTTCAGAAACATGACAGCAATGTCATATATAAAAAAATTTCGGCTGAATATTGTCATATCCGCAGGAGCAGGGGTCATTTTCATTGTATTTGTGAAGGCAAATTATACACATTTTGCATGAACAAATTATACAGTTTTGCATCCATCTCCATTTAAGGATGTCTTCTTCTGACGTTTCAGTCTCGTTGTAATCTCGTTCTGGAATTATTTCCAAAACATATGATACAAGTGGAAAATATCAATGAATTTTAAAAATGTTATAATTAAACTTAACTCTGTGAAAAAAATTGTGTATTTACAATGAGTAGTTTTTTATGTAATCAATTTTTCAAATTTAACGACCAATCAAGTCAGTCTTTTTAGCCAAAAAGTTGAGAAAATAGGTGAGGGGTACAAAAAATGATTTTACCAGAATCATGTACATCCCATATTATTTTCTTTTCAAATTTCTTAGATGTGTATTTTTTCAATCATTTATAAAAAAAAAGTTGAAATAATATGCATTTTGTTCTTAAAACTGAGAAAAATCACAAATTTACAAAATTGACAGCATGGTAAATTTGACCAAAAAAAAGCATCAAAATATGATAAAACTTTCTTATGTTAACACCTACCTATAGTTTTTTTTAGTTAAATTTATTCAGATTGGTCCACTTCATCTTTATTGAAAGTATGAAAAAAAGTTTAATTGTGGAACTGTGATTTTTTTCACGATAATAGCCCCAAAATAGGTAAAAATTGATGAAAAATGGGAAAATCATCAAAATTGGGTACTTTCAAAGGACCGTAGCAAAAAAAAGAAGTGCACCACCATAAGATTTTTTTCTTCACCAATTATTTTTTACAGTCATATAAACCCAAAAATCAGGTTAAGAAAAAAAGTTTAAATCTAGAAATCTAGAATGTTTGGCTCCTCAGAGGTGTACATCCTTAAGTTGTACTTATGAATATCAAGTATTAATATTTCTAATCAATAATTAACAACAAAATGTGTGGGATTAAGGGTGCTATGATTATTGCTATGAAAACCAAAATATGTCATTTTTGTATATTCTTCAGAACTTCAACTATATTTTTTTAGATAGCATGAAAACTGTAATTACTATTTAATGACTATGATGTGAAAATTACTAGTATTCAGCATTAAATGACCTTCAATTTGACCAAATCTCAAAGGTAATGGATGACCTTGACCTTTGACCTTACGTATATTAATTGGATTTTGTAGACAATATAATAGAAAGAAGCAAACAAAACATGAGGAAAATGGTCAGCATGATTAAAGCCTCTATTTTGTTTACAGGTAAACAGAAAGAGGTCAATGTCATATAAAAAGTACTTAACAACCACCCTTTTTTAATACAAAAGTACCTAGTAACCATACGTATTTTAATTCAGGACTATATAGATTACATGTATTACAAATACCCTACATAAAAGGCCAGATGTGAATGTTATCACACTAGTCCTTAGAAACCATTCATTTATAGTGTTGGAAAAGTGCATAGCAACCATTCATTTGTATTGAAAAAGTGCCTAGCAACCAATAATTTATATTAGAAAAGAGCATAGCAACAATATATTTTCGGTTTCATTGCGACAAAAATCAGGAATTGATATTAAACATGCAGTTTTCTTTAAATTAGTAATACCTTTTAGGAACACATAGTGTATGTACCGAATTGTTTAATTACACGGACTTGATTTTTGTACACATGAATAATCCAGAATAGTTAATTTCAAGGTTGAAAAAAATAAGGGTTTGCACGCAAATCCAAATACAATGAAGAGCTGCACCATGATACGCTCGTCGCCCTTTTAAGCTTTAAATGAATTTATATGATCAACTAGAAATACTGCGAGCATTGCTCAAATACCCCCCCCCCCCCAAAAAAAAAAAAAAAAAAAAGACGTGCACACACACAGTTGTACCCATTGACCCAAACAGACCCCTCTATTCATTATGAATGAAGTCCCAATACTTCAAAACGTAAAGTCAGAATTTTATAAAAATCAAAAGTGACCTTATTTCAATATATATATATATAAACAATTCACCAAAGTTTCATGAAAATTGCTCAAAGCATTTTTGCGTTATAGTTAGAAAACATGAAAATCACCTCTTTTTTATGAATGAAATCCAAATACTCGGAAACGTAAATCTTGAATTTATCAAAATCGAAAGGGTGATTACATCAATAGATATAAACAATCCATTAAAGTTTCATGAACATTGGTGAAAGCAATTTTGAGGTAGTGTCCGGAGTGTTGACGACGGACGGACGGACGGACGGACGAACAAACGGACGGACGGACAACGGTATACTATAATACGTCCCGTCTTAAGAAGGGCGTGGAAAAATAAGAAGATGTGGTATGATTGCTAATGATACAACTCTCTGCAAGAGCCCAAAGGGTTTATATTTAAGACAAGTCCTTTAAATCTACAAAAAACAAGACAAAACGATCAAAATTGCTAAGAGGACGACCAATTTATTTCTTTGGTAAGGGTTAGGCTTTTGAGCAAGAGATTTTGCGTGGACAGAATAATTGTTTTCATCCGTTATCAGGCTGGACTACTTATTTCATTTTTTTTCGACGAAAAAATTATTTTCCATTGTGTACACACCTATTTCTTTTTTCAAATTGTATGTGCATCTGAATGTATATTATGTTAAAATATACTTTTTCACTCATTTGGTCTTTTGGAAAATGTTGTTTGTGCTGTATTTAGACCCCTCTACCAAGAAATTTGTTTTG